CTCTTCTCTCTCTCTCTCTCTCTCTTGTCCTCTTCTATATATATATATATATATAAGTCCTACTTTTAATGTAATTTTATTTATAGGTATTTTATTATTTTTATTTTAATTAATTTTATAGGTATATGACAGTAAGAAACGTAGACATATCAAATTTGAGCTTAATACAAAACAAGATAAAAATAAATATATATAAATATAGGGTGCAGTTGGCATACGAGCGCCTCCGTAGGCATAGAGGTCAGATGCCCTTCAAATTTTATCATGATATATAATTTTGATGTAAAATGTTATTAGGATTATCTCAAAATCTATTTTTATATCTAATTATAAAATTTTAAATTTTAAAAATGGTTAAAATTAAGTAGATCTATAAACATATGAAAATCTTGAAAATATACAGTGTAGATAATATGTTGTAAAATACACTATTTTTTTTACTTAAATTTTTTTTATTTTTTATAGTCATACATCTCGATGTCGAGATAATCAATGTTTTTCAACATTAAAACTACATTTTCCTATAGATTTTTTAGGGGCATATGTAATTCTACATTACAAGGTAGCATCCTTATATAAACTTTTTCCTTAAATAAATACACTTTATGTTTCCGGACTTCCTTGTAGAATATTAAATATACCAGACTAAGTTTAAATGCTGAAAATAAAACAAGATTTGTTTTTAATTGAGATGGGCAGTTTTTAATCAAATTATCAGAAAATTAGCAACTGAAAGATACCTGGTTTTAGTCTCTCTTCTGCCGACGATGGCGAAAAATCGTCGCCGAAAAAACCGCCATCCAGAACTGAAACAGGACTCGGCTGCTCCGAGTTAAAGTCCACGCATCTCTTTTCCGGAAACTCACATCTGACCCTCGGATTAGCGGGTAAGTGATCGCGATTCTCCATACTTGCCCGAACCGCTTTTCCTCCCGCTTTTGACGGTGGAGATCTTCGGAACTCCTCAACGGACGGTTGACATGTTCTTAGCTCTCTAATGAGCGGCGATTTTATGATTTCCTCGTCTTCGAATCCAGTGTTCTTCAAATCCTCGGTTCGGGGTGCCGGTCTTTTGAAATCCTCCACTTTGATAGCCGATATTTTGAAATCCTCGGCGATTTGAACGGCCTCTATGATCTTCCTTAGAGCTCTAAGGTCTTCATCGCACTTCTCTAAAGCTCCCAGGATGATGCGCCTCTTCTTCTCTGCGCTTTCTGGCGAAATTTCCTGTGGTTTTTCGGGCAAATTTTCCGGCAAGTTCAGGCAACGAGGGGACGGCAATTCTTCTAATCCCATGAGTCTAGCTACTAAACCAGGTGGTCTCTGTAACTTTTCAGGGGACCCCATTTGCCTGAAGCCCGAGCTCACCGAGTTCGATCGCCAGTTGTTTCTTATATCTTGTGAAAGAGTCGGGCTTCGAGGGATATCACAGGAAAATCGCCGTAATTCGGTGGCCTGAAGTTTTTCCGGCGATTTCTGGGGCTTCGTTTCTTCGCAGGGAGATGTTTTTTGGGGACTCTCTGACTTGGGTTTTTGAGGTGTTGTCGAATTCTTTTTGGGTTTTTTACTTCTTGAATCTGAGAGAAAAGAGGAAGAAATGATCAGAGTTTAAGTTGGGTTTGACTGAAAAAATGGCTGGAATTTCGGGCAAAAATAAAGAACAAGCTTTTTAGGGTTGGATTTCTCAAAAAGAATTGATTTTATCGTACGTTAAATGGCCGGAAAATGGTGAAATTTCACTGTTGTAAATATCGGAAAAATGGCTGAGACGTCCCAAAAACGGTGAGTTTTACGTTGCATTGATCAGAAAAATGGCCGGAGAAAAACTCTCTGCAAAATGATATGTTTGAAAAGGTTGGATTGGCCGGAAAACGGCCGGATTTTTCAAAAGAGTAAGTTTTTATGTTCATTGGTCTGAAAAATGATCTAAATTTAGAAAAATAAAATAGTCAAGTTGATGCCATATTGAAAAGGAAAAGTGATCAAAATTTGCTTAAAAAAACAAAGAGTATTGTTTTTTTGTTGAAAATGTTTTAAAAAAAGAAGCTAAAAATGTAACAGGAAATTTGAGATAAAAATGGCCACTTTATTCACTTGGGTTTTCGCGGTGTGCAAAAATGGAAAAGTTGAGTGTATATTTTTACCTGGGGTGAGTCTTTTGCGGCCATGGCCATGCTTTTGGAGAAAGTGGAAGATGCCTGACATGCAACCGACATGCATTTTCCGGTCACTGGAACTCGGTTTTCCGGCGTAAGGAGAAGGCATTGCTTCTCTCTTTGAATTACAAGATAGAGTGACCGTCGCCATTTGTGGAACGAGAGAGGCGCTAGAGAGAGAAAGGGACTCTTGACAGAGAAGAGAGAGAATGTGCAACGAGTTAGAGAGAGAGTGCTAGACAGAGGAAGAGAGAGAATGTGTGAGAAGCAACGAGTTAGAGAGAGAATGTATGAGAAGCAACGAGTTAGAGAGAGAGAAGAAGAGAGAGAATGTGTTTAGAGAGAGAGGGAGATACAGAGAAGAGAGAGTTTAGAGAGAGGGAGAAACACAGAAGAGAGAGTTAGAGAGAGGGAGAAACACAGAAGAGAGAGTTTAGAGAGAGAGAGAAACACAGAAGAGAGAGTTTAGAGAGAGAAGGAGCACGTGAAAAGGAAGGGAAAGGCTGATGAATGGCAGCAGCACTGATTTACAGGCATGCGATTGCCGACCTCTTTATATATCAAAAACTGCAAACGTTTGCCCCTTAATTGTAAGATAATTACATAACTACCCTCACTCTTTCCTTGACTAACAAGGTGCCAAAATAAACCATTTTGCCCTTCTTATTTAAATTTGTTATATCAATTTCCATTCTTTATTGAATTAAGAACATACCAAAATTTATCATAACACCCTTAAGGGAATGGTTTCTATACTTCTCCTACAACATAGAAGATCTATGCTTCCCCTACCATCTAGCCGTCCAATTTTGATCAAGAGAGCCACTCACCGTTTGATCTTAGATCCGACATCTCAAAATATTTTATTTTTATTATTTTATACAAATTTTATGAATATGAAATTTAGTACGTGCCATCTTGTCACTATTTAGTATTTTTCTCATTTATCAAGATGTACCTAAAATGTCAACTATTTTTACATATGTTTGTTTTGGGGCTCCTCAAAAATAGCATTATATATAATAAAGTTATTCATATTTAGTACAAATATTTATTTTTAATACAAGAAAGTCACGATAACTCCTAACCCTCGGATTGAACATCTGACAATTTCGGGTATGTTACAAAGTCCGATAAGAATTTTCTAAGTGTCTAAGCTGACATCCATCCTCGACTGCCATATTCAACATTTAATGGCTGAAGATGATTGTAATCACATTGTACTAAAGAAAAATGATTTTATTATATACTTTTTCTTTCAAAATTAAATAAAACAGTTACATGTTAAATACTTAATTTCTTGAGTGCTTTTTGACATTTTTTCCTCATTTTAGTGGAAATTAAAAAAATTCATTTAGGACATTGAAAATATCATTTTTGGGTTCCTATTCTTCATTTTAGTAGTGATCAGATAAAAGAAAATTAACTTACAGTGAGTTGGGCTTATACGGTATAGACTCAGTACAACACTTATTAGGAGGTAAAAGTTGATTCAAGTAGAAGGCTCAAAAATAACAAAGATAGGCCAAAAAACACATAGTTGGAAGTAGTAAAAAAAAAAATATAGAAATTTATATCTTCATTGCGATAAAAACATGAAATAGAGTGAAATGACAAATCATGATTCGTAGCCAACCCCAAATAGTTAAAAAAAAGTTATGATGATGATTTTTGGGTTCCCTCTTAAAACCCAATGTCAAAATTGTAATATTTCTAGCACAATATGTTATTTCATTAAATTTACTCTAGTCTTATATTTAAATACGTGACATTGGTGTTTGGAATAAAGGCAAAAAATATAAATGCTATCTTTTTTAATTCTTTTATTCACGGTCCATTTTAACTTTTTAGTGGATATAACGTTGTTTGACATCCATCATAGAGATGGACGTTAAATATACAGGACCACACGGTAATAAGCGAGTCGGCTGACTCACCTAAACCGTACCTTTCATCAATCCTTTTTGATGGGCAGGACAATTTTGCAATAAAGGATGAAACCATGGGCACTTTCATGGGATCTTATGTGGCGAACGGTCTTGCAGCAGCGAGTCACGCTGGGTTGATGCTGTTTTTCTTGGGGTTTGGGTAATGAAGGCTGCAGTCTTGATTAAGAGGTTTGCGGTTCGAATCCCCACTCAAATAAACAAAAGTAGAGAGAGAAAATACAATGCGAAAAGGAGGAGAGAGAGAGAGAGAGAGTTGATAAAGGCTGCAATTCAAGCATCATATTCTCGTGCACACTGCCACAAAAGATAGGGAGACCATCCCTTGCTTTTAAGGGTACCCACCTTGTGGAGGGTTAAAAGTCTTAAAAAGGGTTAAAATGCCTGCCCAAGAAATGATCACCACGCAGGGGTGGCAATGGGTCGGGTCCGGGGCCGGACTTTAAAATATGTTATGCAAGTCGGACTTGGATCTGGACCCGATTAAGTCTAAAGTCCTTGGACCCGGATTTGGAGCTAGACTGAAATTGATTATGGGGGACTTAGACCAGACATGAAAATCATTTTTTATAGAGTGATTTACATATGGATCCTAAAATTTTAAGTAGAGATACAAGTGCTCTGTTTATAGGCGGAAATTGCAAAGAAGTTCGGTCAATCGGCATTTTTTATTTTTTTCTAAATTGTCTCTTAGTCAACTTGAATTTCATTTTTTTTTATTTTTATTTTTTAAATTTTTTCGTTAGTAAGGCAGTGCCCTAAACACTACCCTAATAACAAGAAAACTATTTTTTTTTTTCAAAATTTGGGTTGACCGAGAGACAATTTTGAAAAAAAAAAAAAGGGTTGGCTGACCTTTGAAATTTTAACATATATGTGGAGCATTTCATATTTTACCTAAAATTTTAAGGTCTGTATGTAAATTACTCTTTTATATATTAAACTATGTATATTCATATATATTTAACTCAAAAAATAAAGAGAGGGACTACCTGAACTTAGACCCGGACTTGAACCGCGTCTGGACTATTGGACCCGGCCCCGACCTGTCAGGTCCAACCCTTGGACCCATACCGGGTCTACCTGTCGGGTCTCAGGTCCACGGTTCCCGATCATAGTTAACAAGTCTCCGTTTAAAACACGTTTTTTTTCATAAAATCTCTGATTTTTTGAAATCCATTAAGATTTCCGAGTTTTTCAAAAAATCTTCAAAAAATCATGCTTTTTAATGGAACCAATATAAATTCATTTTTTTTTTTTTCAAAAAGACTTTTCGAAAAAACTTGTTCCTTATAATTAGGAATTTTCTTAAGCATTTTGTTGCTCTTTTGTTATGCATAGAGAAATTTGATGAATTTCATATTTTATTTGTATTTTTTTATTTCATCGGAGTATACAACATAGCATTTTGGATGGGCTACTATTTCACATACTTGGGTCTTTTTGTTTCCGTTTAATTAACAACAATCCTATATTGGGGGTGTTTTTTGTTTTCTTTGAAAAATAATTTTATACTTTGATTCATAGTTATTGTTATTTGCCAATTAGTTCTTGTGTTTAGCATTATTCTTGTTGTTTCATTTTATGCTCCCAATAAATTTATGATATGTTTTATACTGTGACACGAGAGGAAGCATTGTTGTTGGGTTTATTGAAAGTATCAACAAAAATTGGCCAATTAGTACTCTAATGACACTAATAAAGTTATAAAATTGGTGGTTAATAGCTTTAATATATTGATACAATAACTGCAAATCATAATCTTATATTATCTTTACATATCCATTTTTTTCACTACATTTTTTTTAACCAAATCTGAAATATTCACTATTATACTATTTTTTGACGATCCTCATTTTTTACTTGATTTTTTCCACTGACTTTTTAAAATAAAACTGATTCGATATTTTATTATTCCCCGACTTACAAACTATGGTCCCAATTGCTACTCCTACTTTGACACCAAGCACATGCTTTCACCATGCTGCACCATTTAACGACCCCTCTCTCTCCATTCACTGTACTCTACCATGTAAGGTCTCTCTCATTCTCTCTCTGCATTCACCATACTCCATTTAAGTACACAGTACACACTCCATGCCACTATACTTCATTTAAGTGCTCTCTCTCTCTCCCATTCGCCACTCCACCATTTAGGGGTTCTCTCTTTCTCTCGTACATACTACCATTGTTGAGAATGGGGTTGCGTTTGTAGTGATAGCACTGCTTGTGCCTCAGCTAAAGTCTAAGTTTTTATTCTCACCTAATACATTAAAATACCAATAATGATTTCAAAAAACGAGTAGGCGCTTGTCATCCCCATTGAATTACTCAAAAAAAAACATGTCAGCAGTATCTACAAATTTGGGCCCGGATATGGCTATGTGTCGAGCTGAGTACAACATAAGTACAACTCGGTTTGATTAAAAACTTCCTAAAATTTATATGGAAAATTGTTTCATGCGGGCTGGACCACATTTCTACATATGCGATCTAGAAAGGGTAAACCATCCATCTTAAAGATGGATGCAAGAATTTGTTTCATCTAAAAATAGTAAAAACTAATGGTCCAAATGCTTTCTTACTAGAGTTATTATTTCTAATATTTAAAATTATTTATTTATTCATATTCATGATCTCTATGTTAGAGATTATGTATCCTTAAAAATTAAGCCTTAAATCTATCTCAAAAATAAATTTATTCAGAGGCCCGCATTTCTATATATGCGGGCTTGGCCACATAGAAACCGGATCTAATTTATATTAAACAATGGAATAAATATGTAAATAAAGGGATTGTATAGATCATTTACTTTTGGAAAAAGTTTATATAAAGATGCACTTTATAATATAGAACTACGGATGCACCTCAAAAATCCATCAGAAAAGGTAGTTTTAATGTTGAAAAACCCTTTGATTGATCATCTCCACATTGAGATGTATGACCATGAAAAATAAAAATATTTTAAGTCTAAGAAATAGTGCATTTTACAACATATTATCTACACCGTCCATTTTCAAGATTTCATATGTTTATAGATCTACTTGATTTTAACTACTTTTGAAATTTAAAATTTCATAACTAGTTATAAAAATAGATTTTGAGATAATCCTAAGAACATTTTACATCAAGGTGCACCTTACCTCTATAGCTACGGATGCATCCGTATGCCAACCCCACCTTTTACTCTTTAGGGAAAATATCTCAGTATACCCTCATTTGATATACTATTTCTCAATAGACCCACATATTTGAAAATTATGTGGGAGCATTAGTTTTTTTAGAAAACCTATCTTTTAAGCACCTTCAAACCTA